ATAAAGATACTTTAAGTTATATTTTTTTCCTCTTTGTTTTTCAGAGCTACTTCTTATTTGGGGGCTACTTTTAAAAACTGAGGTATAATTCACAAGGGGCTGCCTTTTTTTTTTGATAAGACTTATAACTATTGCTGAATGTTTTGTTCTAATCTTCTAAGCAGGGCCATTTTATTTTTTGGAGTCACTTCTAAAGTCATGTGGTCATTAACTTTGTATACTATTTTGGATAGGAGTGCTGATACAAATTAAAACCCAAGTAGACCTCATTGTATGTCACTCCATGAATGTTGACAACATAAGGAATACCTTGCTCATAGTACACTGACTTCTGGACTGAAAAGCTGAGGAAGAAACTCAATTTTCTTTTTCGCATACATCAAAAAAACAACCACTATGTCCAGTTCCCTGACTGACCTCAGCAAATGAAGTGAACAAATAGTGTTAGTTCAGACTGAAGAAATTATCTGAATCTTGGTGTGTGTCGATTTATAATCTACATGTAATATTACTTAAATTAGATATTTACAGTTTCATATGTGTGCATAGGCTCCTTCACACCTATTTCTATATTTATTAGTTATTGAACTTTCTAAACTGGAATTGAAGCATTACAATTTTTTTGGCACCAATTTTATAAACTTAAGCAGTGCAATGCATGTTATTTTTCTGAGGCAAACCAAAGGTTATTTTCTCAAGGTTTTTGCAGCATTTGATGGAGGATCTTTTACACATTTGTAATAGACAAAAAATAAACCAGACTGAAAATCAGTTTTAAAGTCTAAAACCATGTACCAAGTTTTTTATTCAAATTGTACAGGATAACTTTAAACTTAAATTGCATTCTATTAACCAATATGAATGTACTTCTGTAAGCATAGTTACGTTGAAATAGAGTTTTAAAAAGCAATAAATAAATAAACGTATTTGAAAGGCTGGAGTTTATCATTTGTATGGGGAATTAGCCTGAAGTTGGGTGGGAGAACCCTAAAAGGAAGAAAGTCTAACCCTGCCACTGAGCTATGAAAAAAACCTGCTCACCCTGAACTTCTAGGAGTGCTTTTGGACCTGTCCTCAGCCAGGCTCACCTGTATTCACTGTGTTAACCCAGAATTACTGCTAATTCGTTCATATCTGGCAAGTGACATCAGGTGAAGACAACCACAGCCTCTTATTTCACACTTTCCCTGACACAGTGGAATGACCTATACCAAGCAGATGAGCTTCTGCTTGGAGATGAGTACCCTCTCCTCCATCTGTGAAATTGGTCTGAGGATGTTACCATAAAGGCTGGGGCACTTTTTCATTCCTTTCAACAAAAGATGAAAAGAATAGATAGGATCAGCATTGTATCCTTTTAGTCTCTTGGCATTATAAGGCAGAAGAAAAAATAGAAGGTGTCGAAAGGTGATTCAAACTGCACTCCTTAGGGAAATCCCTCATCTTGCCCCAGGGATATAGTTTAGCACATGTAATTGAGCCAGCAGTTAGGGCCATTTTAACATTTAGATTTTCTTTAATCAATTCCTTTAACAAAAGATGATCTCATACGTGAACTGCAACATTGTATGTTTGATATACATCATGGACATCACCTATTTATTAAAGACCCATAAGAGCAGGGTATTGTCCCAGATGAAATTCTATTAGAATATAAAATTAATTCTGCAAACTTTATTTTATATAGTTACCTATAAGAGAAAGGAAATAGATTTTTTTTTACTGTTTTTCTTATGTTACACCACTACTTGTTCATTTCATTCAAGTGCTAATCTCCTTCTGCTTTGTAGCCTCTATTTTTCTTTCTTCCATCTGTCAACCTCAGATAATTTTGTATTCCTATTACCACAATCACACTTTAATTTCTGGTCCTGTCTACCTCCTCCCCCGAGTCTCATTTCCTGCCTCTCTTCTCTGAATGTGGCTGGATTTAAATGGAGGACTTCACTGGACAGATGGCCCTGAGCTCTTGAGCTTTTGTCACCATGAATATGATGACCATTTTTTTTCTCTTGCTCATTTTAATAACAAGTTATGATATAACTCTGGGAAGATAAAAAAATTATAAACATGTAGATTGTCTTTCGTGCCTTAGATTATGAAATCAATTCATGCTAATGGGTGTACTCTTTGAGATCTATGATTGTAGTGTAATTTTTAATTAATTAATTTTTGTCGTGTACATGCTCAGTGATGAGGCAAAAAGCTATGCATCTCCCCCTTGTGGTTCCTGTTAGCATCTGCCTTTCACATGTCCATTTTTTTTTTTTTTTTTTTTTTTTTTTTTTGAGATGGAGTTTCGCTCTTGTTGCCCAGGCTGGAGTGCAATGGCGCGATCTCGGCTCACCGCAACCTCCGCCTCCTGGGTTCAGGCAATTCTCCTGCCTCAGCCTCCTGAGTAGCTGGGATTACAGGCACGTGCCACCATGCCCAGCTAATTTTTTGTATTTTTAGTAGAGATGGGGTTTCACCATGTTGACCAGGATGGTCTCGATCTCTTGACCTCGTGATCCACCCGCCTCGGCCTCCCAAAGTGCTGGGATTACAGGCTTGAGCCACCGCGCCTGGCCAACCAGGTTAATTTTTAAAATTTTTTGTAAAGACAGAGTCTCACTATGTTGCCCAAGCCGGTCTTGAACTCCTGGCTTCAAGCTATCCTCCTGCCTTGGCCTCCCAAAGTACTGGGATGACAGATGTGAACCACCACATTCAGCCTAAAATAATTTTAAACCACAACTCTGGCAGCACTCTCCTGCTCAAACCTTCTGTGGCTCTCTACCACATGCGGAATACAATCCAAACTCCTTGGCATGGTCTACCTGAAATTTCTATGCCAAACAAAAGAAAACTCTGCTTTTTGAAATCCTATACATGCTTTAAGGCCCAAATTCCTCTTTCCTAATCCTCCAAATGGGTGAAGTCTCACCATTTTGTGTTCTTCTACCCCAATCTGCCAGTAATTATTGGTACTCATGCTCATTTTCTCTCTCAGACTAAACTGTGAGTATCTGGGGAACAGGAAAAGATTAAAAGTCAGTATTAGGCTTTAAAAACAGAAAGCATTTAAAAACAGATGAAGAGAGAGAGTTGAGCCAGGGGCTATGGCTCACGCCTGTAATCCCAGCACTTTGAGAGGCCGAGGCAGGTGGATCACTTGAGACCAGGAGATTGAGACCAGCCTGGCCAACGTGGTGAAACCACGTCTCTACTAAAAATACCAAAAGTTAGCTGGCCGTGGTTGTGTGCTCCTGTAGTCCCAGCTACTTGGGAGGCTGAGGCATGAGAATCATTTGAACCCAGGAAGCGGAGGTTGCAATGAGCCAAGATTGCGCCACTGCACTCCCGCCTGGGTGATAAGATTGCGACTCTGCCTTAAAAAAGAAAAATAAAATGAACAGACTAGCCCTGTCCAATAGGAATATGAAAGGTACATGTGTAATTTTTAATTTTCTAGTAGCCACATTAAAAAAGAACCAGGTGAAATTAATTTAATAATACATTTATTTAACCCAGTATGTCAAAAATTATTTCAACATAACCATATACATTTATTAAGATTTTTACATATTTTAATACTAAATCTTCCAAATCTAGTGTGCAGAATGTACGTACAGCACAATCTCAGTTCAAACTTGCCGTATTTAAAGTGCTTTATAGCCATAAGTGGCTAGTACCACTGTATTAGACAGAAACTGAGCCAAGGACGGCAACAGAGTCCTAGCCCTGGCTGACTACAAAGTAGCTTTCTTACCATAAACAAGACCTTTAACCACTCACTTCTGTGGTTTCCTCATATGAAAAGAGGAGATATGTTTTTCTTACCAATCACATAGGGTCGTAATAGCATACAATTACAAACTGAAATGAGGACACTTTTGAAAGGTTGAAAGTGTCATACAAATGGGAGGCATTATAATTATTTCAATAATAAACTCTGATGGCTCTAGATCATGCAGTGTTTCTTAGCACATATGATTTTTAATAACAGTTGCAGATACTTACTAAAAGTTGAAATACTAAAGGTTACAATTTCAATGCTTCCGTGGAAAAATAATTCCCATAGTAGCAAACCCAATTAAACTGCTGTGCTTTGAAATGGTTATTAATCTCTTCTTTAAGGAATCTGGATCCCAGAGTCTCCCCTGCTTCCTAATCTTTCTTCACTGACATGACAGCAATAAAGCAAGGCTGAGGGAAGATGCTGATATTCCCACTGGAGTAGGGGAGTGTGATGAAGACACATAGTTCTGATGCAGAGACAAACCTCGGAGATTCGTATTCAAGTTAATTAGATTGTTACGAATAATAAGATGCTTTCAATACATAGAGAAAGAAAGAGGCGGGGCGCCAGTCGAAAGGATTTTGAGATCCACAGGATTGGGAAATGATGCAGGGAAAACTCACCTGGTCATTTTTCTATTTACATAGTGTTTGTCCGCCACTAAGGTGCATCTGTGACACCTGAGAGAGACAGAAATACGTTCCTCGTTGCTATGTCCCCCAGAGGACTCTGGAACGGCTAATTATTACTAATACTTTAAGTGTTCGTTTTAGATTTTCTGCAGCTCTCTAAGTGTCTCTTCCCAAACTGTTCAGTTACTGTTTATTCACCTGCTGAGATCTGGTCTCTTATTCACTTTCATTGCCTTAAGAAATGGTACAGAAAGGTATTTATTAACATTTCAGATTTGTATATAGGGTAGCGAGAAATAATTCCCTCTCTTGTGTGTTGTGATTTGCCTTTCTTGTCAGCTGAAGCTCAGGAAGGCGTCTGTGAAAACTTCGCTCAGCCCAAGATCCGCTTTCCCTTCCCCCCACATCTGTCAGTGCATAAGGTTTCTTCCCATTTCTTCAACGGTTTCTGGAGCCTCACCCTTTGCCGACCCAGGGTGCCAAGGAGACTGTGCCCTGCCCTGACAACAGTTGCTAAGGGGCGGAGACTTCGGATCGGTTCCCGAGACCGAAGACCCGGGAGTCGAGTACTTGGGCGCATGCGGTAACCGTATCTCAGCTCTCGCGAGGTTTCGTCTTCCCGGAAGCGTTGGAAGACGTTCCCTGTTGACTGCGTCGCGATGTGTGGAGACTGTGTGGAGAAGGAATATCCCAACCGGGTGAGCGACTGGGCGCTCCTTTGGCCGGCGGCCGGCCCCCGAGGTGTCTCATACCCGAGGCTGGCCTTCCCAGAGAGGCCGTACGTGGGGCGGACCCGCCCGCACTGCCGGTCCCGGTGACCCGGTAGCGGTATTTAGGTACACCGGGGATGGCCTGTGGCGTTCGGCACCTCTGGTCTCCGCCCTGGCGGCTGACCTCAGCTGTTGTGCCGGTTCACTTCAGCTCCAGGGAGCAACAGAGGAACCCCACCGCCACCACAATCCCGGTCGACAGCCGAGGGACTCCCCCACCCCCACCTCCGGTCTCATCCTCAAGCTCGATTTGAAGTTCAGTTTTCTTACCGAATTCTATCGCTGGAGGGGACCTCAGAGGTCATCTGTTCTAACACTTTTGCAGATGAAGAAACCGATGTCCAGAGAAGGGAGATCACTTGCCCAAGTTCACGTTGTAGTTGCATGGATGAGAGCCAGGACTAGAATTCAGATTTCTTGGCTCTTACTGCCTTTTAAATCTCAGTTACTTTCAGGCTCAGGAGGTTGCAAAGCTTGTCTATTCTCATTCATTCAAGGTTATCTTTGTTGAACATTTATATATGTGTAGCTAGATTACTTTAGGCCAGTAAGGGAGTCTTTGTTTCTCCTCCCCTTTTTTTTGGAGACAGGTTCTCACTTGTTGCCCAGGCTGGTCTCAAATTCCTGGGATCAAGCGATCCTCCTGCCTTGGCCTCCCAAAGTGTTGGAATTACTGGCGTGAGCCACCGCGCCCGGCCGGATCCTTTATTTCAAATTAGAAATAAAAAGGCAGCTTTGCTGCTGCCTGAGAGCTCACAGTTTTGGGGAGTATGTGACTAACAAAAAATGGGTAGTTCGGTTCAGAAATGCTATTCAAGTTTAGGGAAAGGGGAGGGCAATAGGAGATAGTGTTGTTCTCCCCTGCGAAAAGGTGGACATCCTCTAAGACTTGAAGGACAGTTGTAATTAGGGTAGAAAACAAGGTAAGGAGGAAGTGGAGGATGGGGGAAAATTACAGGAATGGAATTGGTGCATTGGATGGGAGGGAGGAAATCTCTATAGTTGCTTATGCCTTAGTATCTTATGGGTAATACTTAGGCTTTTGAGAAGCATATGTAACAGTATATTTTCTCATATGATACAACCACTTTGGAAAAACGGGTGAGCCTTATACAGAAATGACCCAGTGATTCCCATTCTAGAAAAATCAATGTGTATATGCTTCTGAACACTTTGAGTGTTCAGCCGGGCGCTGTGGCTCACGCCTGTAATCCCAGCTCTTAGGGAGGCAGAGGCAGGAGGATAGCTTGAGCCCAGGAGTTCGAGACCTGCCTGGGCAATATAGCGAGACCCAGTTCTCCACAAAAAGGAAAAAACAAAAAGACAAAAAAAAAAAAGTGTTCATAACATCATTATTTTTGTGGTAGTAGATTGGAAAAATAACTGTGATATATTCATAGAATGGAGCACATGAATGAATGAGTAATGGAAGTGAATGAAGTAGTATAGTAGTCCTCTACCAGGAGTGATTTTTGCCTTCTAGGAGACATTTGGCAATATCCGGAGACATTTTTTGGTTGTCAAATGGGAAAGCACTACTGACTTCTAATGGATGGTGCAGGCGATGCCACTAAACATCCTGAAAGACACGCGACAGCCACCACAAGTATCACTCCCAATGACAATAGTGCGAAGGTTGAGAAACCCTGAATTATAACAATGAAACTACAATTACACAGCAACCTGAAAAGTTTTACAAATAGTGTTGATGAAAGAACACATAAAATATAATTCAAAAAGAGGCAAACTAAAATATATTATTTAAGGATGTACCTGGGTGGTAAAACTATATAGAAAACACACAATTACTGTTAAGTAGAGATAGTGGTTACTGCTAAGGGATTAGGGTGTGATCAAGAAGGGTCACATGAGAAAAAGTCTTCTGGGGTACAAGCAGTGTTTTATTTCTTGATTTGGGTGATGGTTCTGTAGATGTTCACTTTATAATTATTATGCTCTACATTTATGTTTCATGTACTTTACTGTGTTCCATTTCATTGTTTTAAGTTTAAAAAGATTTTTACAAAGCCAGTAATAAACATAGGATATTACAAGACCATGAGGGAGAAGTTTGCAGTAGAGAATATTAAAGAGTTTAGGTTGGATACTTAAGAGTGGAGTTATTGTAAAACTTAAAAGTCATATTGAGAAGCTTAGAGTTTACCTTTTATGCATTGGACAACCATCAGAATTTTAATAGAGAAATGATCCTGAAATCTGTTATTTAGGAAAATGAATCTTATGGCTGATGGTAGGATGGAGGGTGTGTTAGGAGATAACTCCACAGAACATTTGAGGAGCTATGGCAACAGTGTAGGCATGAGATAATGAAGACCTTATTTCAAAGAAAGAATTAGGCTGAGCACAGTGCTCACACCTGGAATCCCAGCACTTTGGGAGGCTAAGGCAGGTGGATGGCGTGAGCCCAGGAGTTTGAGACCAGGCTAGGAAACATGGTAAAACGCTGTCTCAACAAAAAATACAAATAGTCCGGGCGCGGTGGCTCACACCTGGAATCCCAGCACTTTGGGAGGCCGAGGTGGGTGGATCATCTCAGGTCAGGAGTTCGAGACCAACTTGGCCGACATGGTGAAACCTCATCTGTACTAAAAATACAAAAATTAGCTGGGTGTGGGGGCACACTCCTGTAATCCCAGCTACTTGCAAGGCTGAGGCAGGAGAATCGTCTGAACTCAGGAGGCAGAGGTTGCAGTGAACTGAGATCATGTCACTGCACTCTAGCCTGGGCAACAAGAGCGAAACTTTGTCTCAAAAAAAAAAAAAAAACACAAAAAACAAATTAGCCAGGCATGGTGGCATGCATCTACAGTCCCAGCTACTCTGAGGCTAAGGTGGATCACTCGAGCCCAGGAGGAAGAGGTTGCAGTGTGCCATGATTGTGCCACTGTACTCCCTCCTGGACAACAGAGCGAGACCCTGTCTCAAAAAAGGAAAAAAAAAAAAATAATAATAAGATTCAATCAGTTTAATGTAGAAGAGAATAAGGGGAGAGCTATATGTGATCACATGATCTCAGTTTTCAATCTAGGCAACTGGGAAATCGGAAGTATCATTACGGAAATTTGAGGCATATGGGAAGAAAAAGCAAAAATTCGGGACAAATGGTCAGATTGTTATTAATTTGCTTCACCTGTGATTGAGAATATCTGAAGGGTCAAGTGAAGATATAAGATTGCAGTTTGGGTACAATTACATAGATAAATGAGTCAGTTAAATACAAATGTCAAAATAGGATTTGTTCTCTGAGGAAAAAAATGTATGGAATCAAGGACTGAGCTCCAAAGACTAAATAATCTTCAGAAATGAAAATAAGTATAAAGAAGAATAGAAGAATAAATGGACTGAGGTGATTGGAAAACCAGGAGAGTACCTTTCAAAGGTGCTTTTCTCTGATTTTATTCTGTTCTAAAATAATTAAAAGACTGTCATAAAGAAGAATTAAACTTTTCTTTGGAATTTTAGAAGGCAGATTTAGAAATAATTAGGGGATGGATGTTATGAGTCTTAGACTTTGAATCAGAATAAAGAAATTTTTGACATTTCAAAATGGAATGAGTAACTCTTAGAGGAATTAAGCTGTCTTTCAATATTCAGTAGAGACTTAACTGACCATTTGGAATGTCAAGGACCCTTCCAACTCAGGGGTTCTTTGAAGTCATGACCTATTTTTAAATGCGGTAAGAGCAGAAGCCACTGCATTTGCTAAGCTTTGCAGAAGCTTAGCAAAGAAGGACAGTAAGAAGATGGTGGGCTGGGCCTGGTGGCTCACACCTATAATCCTCACACTTTGGGAAACCAAGGCACAAGGATGGCTTGAGCCTAGGAATTTGAGACCAGCCTGGGCAACATAGTGAGATCCTAAAAATGAAAATTAAAAAACATTAGCCCAGCGTGGTGGTGTGTTCCTGTAGTTCCACCTACTTGGGAAGAGGATAAGGTGGGAGGATTTCCTCAACCCAGGAGTTTGAGGCTCCAGTAAGCTAAGATCACACCACTGCACTCCAGCCTAGACGACAGAGCAAAACCCTTTCTACTTACAAAAACAAATTCATTTGTTGGGAAGCTCTAAGTATAGGATGAGTAAGTATTAGTTAATTATTTATCTTTGATTACATAAAGTTGTTTGGAATTTGTGATTTATTTTTACAGACTAGAAATATATAGTACTGAATTCCTAATGGGGCTCTGGCATACTTGCTTATAATGTTAACACTGAGAATTTGAACTCAGACATGAGTCAAGCTGGAAATGAACCACACTAACTTTCTGAACCCACATTTTTTTACTCAACTGTGAACCACATTTTTTTTTCCTTCAGAAAAGCATTAGCAAACCTGTCAGAGCTAGAATTCTGCATTTTCTAAAATTACTGAACAGGCACAAAATTGTAATAAGATATTTTTCAGCCGGGCGCGGTGGCTCAAGCCTGTAATCCCAGCACTTTGGGAGGCTGAGGCGGGTGGATCACGAGGTCAAGAGATCGAGACCATCCTGGTGAACAAGGTGAAACCCCGTCTCTACTAAAGATACAAAAAATTAGCTGGGCATGGTGGCACATGCCTGTAATCCCAGCTACTCAGGAGGCTGAGGCAGGAGAATTGCCTGAACCCAGGAGGCGGAGGTTGCGGTGAGCCGAGATTGCGCCATTGCACTCCAGCCTGGGCAACAAGAGCGAAACTCCGTCTCAAAAAAAAAAAAAAAAAAAAAAAAAAGATATTTTTCATATCAAACTGGAAATGAAACATGTATTTCATATATTTTAACTTCAGCTTTAAATTTTGTTAGTAATGCAACAGCAGTACAGAAATACATTATTAGGTTAACAGTGGGAAAAAAATCAGTGTTAGTGATATGTTTAAATTTACAATTACATGCTTTATATTTGTCATTTAAAGATAAGCTACCAA